CGAGTCAGGCAGGCCTACTATGATGATAAATCGCTCCAGAACGTTCCGGAACGCTCTCGGGGAGTGTTCTGGAGCGCTCTGAAACGGCCACGGCGCCCGACAGGTCCTCCAGACCCGCCGATTTTCAGAGAGATCCCCGATTCATCTTCGCCCGAATGTGTATTCATCTTGCCGGCGTCTTATTGAAGACTCCGTGTGCGCGCAGGTGTCCAGCGGTCAGCGGGCCCAAGGCCCCTCTGGCGGGTACCTCTGGGCAGTTGTTCGCCACTTTTCAAGGAAACGCCCACTGCATCTCAGACTTCACTGGACAGAGGAAGCTCTTTTCCTGTGGTGTTCCGGGCAATTGGGCTCTTGACATAGCAGGAAATTGGATACAGATGACGCGGTTGGCCTGGGCGACAGCTGCCTGCATCATGTAGGGAAACAATCAATTGCATTATGAAAAACATCTGAGGTCCGCGCGGTTCCTCGGATCGGTGCTGGACCCCGTCTCTGGCGCGCTGAGCGAGCCAGGGGCGGCGCCAGAGGCGCTACCAGGAGGCACCAGCGCCGATCCGAGGAAACCGCGCGAACCTCTGAGTTTTTATGTTTACGTAATTGTCCGATTCCTCTCCATAGTCCATAGTCGAACAAAAAACGAGCTGCCAGATGCTCGAGCTGTCTCCCTTATCTGAGCTGACAGCGGCGTGGTCGGACGTGCAGCGGACGCAGGCGGCTGGGCAAAGAGGCCAGCCGTCTCCAGCCTGGCGGACGCGACCAGCAGCACCAGCAGCTTGCACTCGGCCAGCAAGGGGCTCCTGAAGCACTTCCAGAAAGTGCGCCAGGCGCCTTGTGTTTCCGAGGGTGTTCGAAGCAGTTCGTAATGTTGTCGATCGAGCGTCTGATTGAGAAACCTCTTCTCGAAAAGCTGGGCCAGCGCTTCTTCCCCAACCTGCCGGAAAGTTGGCCGGGTTTCTTGAGTTTGTTCGCCCCTGCAGCGGTGAGAACAGAAGTTGGCCCATGCTTGTTTTAAGACACTTCCGGGAAGCTGGCCCAGATTCTTGAAACGATGATTTCTGGATCGCATGCTCGGTTGTATACTTATATGCATATAGTTGTCTAAATGTTGTATCCATACACATACAAGAAGATTGCAGTACTTGTCGAGCGTTTTAGCGATCGTGGTCATTAACGGAGCGCGGGCTCAGACGGAGCGAGGGCTCAGACATGTGCATCTGCATTTCTGCCAGTTCCCCAAGGCACTGGTTGCGCGCAACGGCTCGCCTACGGCAGGTTGGCCTGAGCGGTGCTCCATGTGTTTTGGTTTTCTTCTTCGCCTCCCTCCTTGTTCTCCTCCTCCTCCTCCCCTTACACCCCTGGCCCAAGTCTGCAACGATCGGTGTTTTTGGTTTCGCTATGTTCGGCGTCGCGACTGCGATTGGCGCCGATTGTGTGTCTTGAAGGAATGGCTGGTAGCCGTCAGGGTTGCGCACGCAATGCCTTCGTCCAGTCTTGGTGGCCTTGCCAGTCGGTGTCATTGCTGTCCGAGGAAAAAGAGATATAGAGAGAGATACACATCTACACACAATGGTCGGAAGTCCGCGCGGATTTCCTCGATCTGTCGCAGGTGCTCGCATCAAACATCAATGTGGCATGTCTCACCCCTGCAGGACGCGGCACGGGGAGGACGGGACGGACCGACGAGGAGCGCATGAGCATACAGCACAGGGCAGGGGGCAGGGGGTACCCCCGTCACGCTATGCCATGCGCCCTCGATGACCAAGTCTGGTGCTACCGCGCTTCCAACTCTCTGGCTGCCGCGCTGAAGCTCGGGCAGCCCCTCCTGCCCGCCTGGATCCTCGCACCTCGCCGGCTTCCGGCGCTGGCACGCCCCTCGCCAGGCTTGTCGCCACTGGCCGCCCGGACGGATGATCTCTGCCGCCACCCAGCTCCCCAGGGAGGCGCCCCGTGCCCACCCATCCCTTCATGGCCTCGGCCACGGGAGAGATCGGGAGGCCTCGGGTGAGGATGGTGGAACGGGCGCTGCGGCCAGAACATCCTCAGGCCCGCCGGCTGCTGTCAGAGATCCCCAGTTTGTCTTCATGCAGGTGTCCAGCGCTCAGCGGGCCAGACGCGCCTGCGGCGGGCACCCGTGGGCAGGTTTTTTGCCGCCCAGGAAGACACCCACTGCATTTGAGATTCCACTGGACCGAAAAATGTGTGTCCTGGTGGTGTTCTGGGCAAGTAGATCCTCGACGTGCCAGGAAGTTGGATGCACATGGCGCGGCCGCCTTGGGCGAGAGCCGGACACACACGCGGCCGCACAATTTCCCAGCCCGCGGCCCTTTATGGCAGGGTTCGCCAGCTCTCCACGTGTGCATCCAGCGCGCGGCATCTACATGTTCCACATGAGTCCAACCATGTGTGTGCGTGTTTTCTAGCTTCCTGGTATAGTCTTGCTCGAAGATGCGTAGCTTGGTATGGACTGGTTTTAGAAGGTCCTGGCTCCGCCCCCTCGGGAGGCGTCCAGAGGCCCAGCCTCCCCCCCGATCTTTGCTGGGCCCGGGTCCGACTCGCAAAGTGTTCTTCGGAGGACCAGGCCCGTCGCTGCCTGCTGCGGGCATCCCCCACCGCCCCTCGCCCGCATCCTCGCCAGGGCCTGGAGCCAGAAACACCGCCGGGAGGGCCTCTTCGTGAAGGCCGCGAAGAAGGTGGCACTGGTGCGGAGGCTGGGCGTCTCGCAGGCGGTCCAAGAGCCCACGAAGCCCACGAAGTCGTTGGCGGAGGCGCTCGCGGAGACGCTGGACAAGGACGGCTGTCGAGCAAGAGAGGGGCAGCCTCACAATCGTTCATCTTCAGACGTCTGCCACACGAGCCAGCTGCGCTTCTCGCCAGGAAGGGGAGGCCAGGTGCTCCTGAGAGAGGCTTGGGCCGTTCAAGGTTTGACTTCCACCGCGCCTTTCTTCAGCACCAGCGCTCCAGAAGATATACCACTCCGACCCACAGAACCTGGAGGTGCCACAGCTGAGACAGGCACGGAAAATTGGTCCCCAAAGCAGAGAGCCACCCGAACCGGATCCGGGCGATCGCGTGCCCCTGGGCCCCCGACCTCCTCCCCCCCACCCACCGGCAGCCTCCGACTGGCACTTCCCCGCCCAGGTTCGCCCCCACCCAGGCCCGATCCGACTCGATCCCGATATTCTGGCGATCCGATTCGCCCCGATGCTTGCATGGAGTGGTTGTGCATGCCGGCGCGGCCGACCCGACTCGTTCCTCGACTCCGCGCCGATGCGGCCCGATCCGACGCACGTTCCGAGTCGATCCGATTTCTCGATTCGGTTTCCCGATTCGATGCTGATTGATCCTGCCCTTTCCATTAGGCTGGTTTTTCATCCTGGATCGTTTTTGGTGGTCCTGGGGCCTGGCAAGGGCACCGTGATGCCGAAAGCTTCAAAAAATTGTCGTACTTGCACATCCGACGATGTGATTTGTTCAATCCGTGGCCCCAGAGGCCCCGACGCCTTCCTCGGGGCATCTTCGACCCGGATCCAGGTTTGATGGTCGCAGGGCCGAACACGGGAGAAGACACAGAAAACCGTCGCGACTTAAATGAACAATTCTCTGGTTGTCCGGGCAGCTAGTTAATGTTTCGCCAATGCGATGGAGGTCTGGGGGCAAAGCTCAGCACCAGCGGGTGGTGTCCCGTGATGTTCGCTCGTTGTTCGCTCGTGACGTCCCGTGGTGTCCTGTGATGTTCGCTCACGATGTCTTCGGCGGCGTGTCCGACAGGCTGCGCCCCGTGGCGTCGTCGGCGTTGCCGTCCCGCCAACATGGCGGCCGCGAGCGTTCAGCGCACGAAGCGCGCACGAGGCGCCGACGGGCGCCCACCAGCCGGGCACCACCCGGAGACCATCGAGACACCGGCACGCCCAACCGATAATCTGAAGCGGCCTGAGCAAGACACCCCTGCGCAAGTGCAAGTACCCATCGGTCGTTGAAGGTAGGTATTTGTGGATTCCCAGGTTCCAATCTGCTTTCAGCGCCTTCCTAGTTCACTGACCGAGTAGCTTCAACCTTTTCCGTCCTCCTTAGGGGGCGGGCGGAAATCCAGTCGACTCTCAACGCCTTCACGCTTCATGTTTCTACCTACTTCTTCCGACCCATGCGTACGGCTTGGGGGGGAAAAGCCGCCGCGATTTCTGCTAACGGCGCGAGGGGTCTGGGGGTCCCCCGTGCCTTTTGCGCAGCAGCGGTTCAGCGACTGTGCCACGAGCGGCGCCGGCATCCCTGGGCGGCAGGACGCGAGGCCGCGGCGGATGAGCCAGCAGGGCGGCTTCGCTGCCCTGAACCTCCAACACGCTGCCCTTGCTGATCGGAGCACCGTCGTGGACAAGGACAGCGAGGCCGTCCCACGTGGATAGGGGCGGCATGCTCGATTCGTGAACGGAGGCCAGGGGAAGCGATTGTAGGTCACGGGCCAGAAGGAGTCAGAGGTATTAAGATAGTGGCAGGAGGCGTAAGGGGAGAAATGTAGTTCTTGGGGGGTACGGTTGGGGTCCAGACGTTCGTAATGTGGATGTCGAGCTCAGCCTCTTCGACGATATGCTGATCTTATGTGACTGCAACAACTTGGGGCACTATCGACTCCCCCTTATCGGCATGCACTTCGGGCGCCCATTGCGCCCGATCAATTCGCACATTAAGTCCGTATTTAAGCGCAGAACACGATGCCAAGACAGTGAGCGTGCACTGCACGAATAGAGAGTGGAGACGCATTCGGGGAACTCGCTGGGAAAAGCTCTACGATCTGTCCATCACTAAAGCGCAGGATTCGCTGCTGTTTGAAATTTCGCACGCTCAAATGTCGCACTAGATTCCGTCCTTAATTCCGTTCGTGGCTGGTCCTGGTCATCTGCATCGTAGCATTCAGGCGGAGATTCACGCTCCAAAAGCTAAGCTATGTTATCAGATGTCGTTCATATGTCGGATCTGATTTCTGCTCCGCTCACCGTTCCACGAAGAACCTCAGCTTGTGTTGAGAAGTCCATGGGTGTTGGAATGGATCCATATCTCTTTCGAACAGTTAGCGACCGAGTACACGTGATGTTGCCGTGCTTCTCCAATGCCGTTACGCCGCCTTCCGAGACTCGGTATCGATATACCCGCATCTTAGTTCTTATGGATCCTAACCGTAGCGTTCCGCTGCCGCTTGCGCTCAAGACTGCTTGGGATGCCCCACGTGGGCGACTCCAATCTCTTGGAGAAAACATTCGTTTCACAATCACACACGGCATCAGTTCCCTGAATAGCACTCGGATGCGCGATCTTCCGCCAATGATCAATAATGTACATGTGCCGGTTCCGACGTTTTCCCAGACGTTGGTTGACATATTGTGTTGGTGGCGCTCCAAGATAACAGTTTGCTCGCGTGCAGGGTTCCACGTCCGAGACACTTGGGTGTTGCATCCGCGTGCAAACATGCATGAACATCTGCACTCGTGTGTAAGAGAAATCAAGTATGCACATTCTGATTGTCTGCGCAAGTCGCACATACGCGTGCAAGCGTTTTGCAGACATGTGCACACACAAGTATACTCTTATATCTATATATATATATATATATATATATCATCCCACCACAACCCAAAGTATGCCCTCTCTACCGAAGACGCCTGCGGCGAATCACCGCCGCCCCCTGTCTGTTGGAATCGCCCATGTGGCCGAGCGTTGTGCCAAGCTATCGGACCGTGTCTTCCCCCAGCCGTTGTGGAAACCTTGCGGGGAATACTTGGGGGAGGATGGCGGGGAAGATCCGGAGGAGGATGAGGACGAGGATGAGGACGAGGAGGAGGAGGAGGAGGAGGACGAGGAGGCATCTTGGGAGCCTCTGGGGGCACTCTTGGGGCCTTCTGGGAGCTTCCTGGGAGCCTCTTGGAGGCATCTTGGGGGCCTCCTTGGGCCTCTTGGCGGCCTTTGGAGGCTTCTCGGGGGCTTCTCCGGCCGTTCCTGGCCCATCTGACGCCGTCTTGGGGGCCTCTCTGGACCGACTTGGGGCTCTCTTGGGGTGCTCCAGGGCCGTCTTGGAGGCCATCTTGGGTGTCTTGGAGGCCTCTTGGGCAGTTTGGGGGCCTCTCGGGCCGTCGGAAGGCCGAACAGAAGCAAATACCACAATCCGTCAAACAACAACGGAAACACAATGATTTTGGTATCTTCGGGCCTTCCTGGAGGCCCTCTTGGAGGCCTCTTGGGGACATCTAGGAGGCCTCTTGGGCCGTCTTGGGTTGTCTTCGAGCCATCTTCGGCTGTCTTGATGGTCTCCTAACCCGCCTGACGCCGTGGTAAGCCGTCTTCAGGGCCTCTCTGGGCCGACTTCGAGCCCTGTTGGAATACTCCAGGGCCGTCTTGTAGGCCATCTTGGGCGTCTTGGAGGCCTTCTTGGGCCGTCTTGGGGCCCTTTTGGGGCAGTCTTGGGGGCCTCTTGGGCCGTTCTGGGGCCCTCTTGGAGGCCGTCGGAAGGCCGAAGAGAAGCAAACACCGTAAATCTTTCAAGCACCTGGGGCAAAATAATGAGCCTCTTCGGGCCCTCCTGGAGGTCTTGGAGGCCTCTCGAGCACCTCTTGGGCTGTCTTGGGCCATTTTGGAGGCTTCTTGGGCGGAGTTGGAAGTATCTTGGACCCTCTTCGGCCGTCTTGGAGGCCATCTCGAACCATCTTGAGCGAACTTAGAGGCCATACGGGGCCATCTAAGCCGTCTTGGAAGCTATCTTGGGCCATCTTGGAGCGGGCAAGGCATTGGCAGGTACATGTTCGGTGGATTTGTTCCACACCGCGGTCTCCAGACGTCCCGCCCTTTCCTCGGGGCCGACTTCTTATCCCGAGTCTTTGTTGACCGCTCCGCAGCCAAGAAAGGGTCCTCAGAGGCCCCTGAGATCCGAAGACGCGAAAACGTTGCAACATCGTGATCACGGCCGCAACACTAAGACCCCATCTTCCTGCGTCAATTTTTTGGAGCCCGATCGACTTGCGAAGGCCCCAGGACCCGAAACCGGACGAAAACGCCGGGCTCGACAAAGATGCGACACCAGGATTTCAGGGGTCGCGGCTTTTCACGACGCGAGCATGTCTGGGAGGACTCCCCGCGCGCACGCGGCAGCGCAGCGGGCCGAGGCCGCTCGTCGAGCGCCCATGCTCCTCCACGGCGCCAGCCACGCCCCGCCCCAGCTGAACTCCAAGACCGCGTCCCAGGCCGGACGCGCGCTGGGCGGCACGAGCGGCGAACGCAGGCGTTCGACTGCACGTAAGACGTAAGGGCGACCCTTCGCCGGAGTGTCTTTGGGTGCGGGCAGACAGGGGTCCCCCGCAGCACCAGCCGGCACGCTCGGATTTGGCCCCTCCCCGGCCCCCGAACGTTGTGCACCGATTGTTTTTCTTGCTCAGGGTGGTTCTCACGTGTAGCCGACGTGTCCATATCCACGCCCTCGCGGTTTGGCCTCTGGGGCGCGATCCCGCGGGTATGCGGTGGCACAGATGCGTTCCGCGCGTGGCATCCGCAACAAAAACGCCTTGCATCCGCGGGGTCGCGTCCAAGGAGCCCCGCCCGCGAGGCCACGCATACGGATTTACGTTTCGCCCACGAGGGGTCCGGCCCCAGCTTCTTGTCCCAGACCTCCAGCGTGTTGAGTAAACTATACGAGTGTTGTAGGCCGTTGTCGGCCTCCGAGAGCCCTCGCCGGGCCTTGCGATGGTCAAGCAAGCTGCTCAGGATGAGAAGCGGGGCTGGGGGAAATGGGCAGGGCTTCCGGGGACCCCCGCACTTGTACAATGAATACACTCAGTCTTCGAGTTTATGACGCCGACCGATGCCAGTCTTTGCTTTTCCGCCATTTGGAGCCTCCCAAGGGTTCGTCGCTACGATTGGGTTCGCCTCGGAGTCCTAGTCCAGGGGAGAGGGCGGCACTCTACCACCCGAAAACATCACCTCGTCTCGATGCCGATCTCGAGGATTCCCCAAGTTTCCCCAATCAGAGCTTGCCTCTGTAGGGGTCCTAGCGGATTCATATGGTTAGGTTAGCGTGGCCGCCGCTTTTCGCTGCACGCCCGGGTGCCCGGGTGCCCGGGGGTGAGGTTGGCCAGCGATTTTCGGTGCCCGGCGGGTGCCCGGGGGGTGCCCGGGGGTGCTCGGGTGCCCAGGTGCCCGGGTGCCCTGGTGCCTTGGCGTGCAGCCCAATAGCCTTATAGCCCAATAGCCCTATAACCTTATAGCTTATTGTATCATCAGAAAAGAATATGATTGGGGTTTTTCTCCGGCATCATTATGAGGGTACATCTCTAATGTTGTCATCGCCGTGTGTCTGTCCATCTCAGGAGCAGGCATGGGATCGAGGTTGGTTAGTATACGTGTTTGTTTTGTTCCCCCTTTCAGGGACCCTGCGGCAGACTCTTCGAGCATAAGCCGAGTTTGGTAGAAACATTCCGAGGCGTCTTGAAGACCAGGCCAATGCGACCGGAGGGGTCTCGCGGGAGACCGAAGAGTGTTTTGGCATGGGTTGTTGCGGCCGCATAGCCGGCTGAGGAGCCAGCCAGTCTTTGATCGCGGCGGGGGGGCCATTGCGCAGTTCGACGAGTTCTGCTCGATTTCGCCGACGAGTTGATTGCCTCCTCGATGCTTCTGATGCTTCTGTGCCGCTGCCGCGACCTTGGCTCGTCTTGGGGGCCTGCTCTGAGTTGTCTCTCGCTGCGTCTGTCGGCGATGCTCGGCGGGCTTGGCCAAGGTCGCGGGAGCTTCGCCGAATTGTGTGTTGGCACGTTGCCCCAGGCAGGCGCGCGCCTCTCAAGCTGCCTGGGGAGTCAGAGCAGCATTTTTTCAGGATTTGGACGACGGTTGGGGTGGCGTCTAGTCGGCCGGGGATGGTGATCCTGGCGACTCATAGGGTGGCGTCTCGGTGCCGCTGGCTTGGATCACCTCGGGCAGTCAGCGATCGAAGCGGGGCTTCTGCCAGAAAGGAAAAGGTCGGAGGATCCAGACAGGTCGCAGGGTACTGGGTGGAGGGCCGAGAGAGGGCCGCCGCCTGCACTCGAGACTGCCCCCCCCCCTGCGACATGGAGTTCCCCCCCCCCGCGGATGATGTCTTGAGGCGATTCGGCGTCCGGAGCACTGCTACGGTCCAGCTGCTGCCATAAGGAACGCTACATAAGGAACAGAGCCTCTCTATATCGGCCATAGAAGCACCGGGGGTGCACCAGGGGAGCGCTGGAGGCACAACCATACTGGGATCTCAAGGAACAGCGAGCCCCTTCCGAACCCGAGCTGTTCCTTACCTCGGCGTCTTGGCTGCACAGCGCGGGCGGACACTGCGGGCGCAGGGGGCCATGGCGACCGACGAAGGGGCAGAAGGGCCTGAGCTCAGGGGGGGCCTGCCCAGGGTGGCTCACACTACTCCGAAGGGGAGGCGCACGAGAGGGGCCCATTCACATTCCGCGACACGCCCTCGGCAGTGGTCGCGACCTGTCTGCCGCACGCCGCCTAGACGCTCGTTTGGGGGGCCTTCCTGGGGACCACATGACGGACCTACTCGATTCTAATTCGATTCTGGTTCGGCTTTTCTCCGACTCGAGCTCGACTCCAGTCGACGGACGTTCGACGCAGCATCGACACTTGTTTGGTCGCAGCGGTGCGAATCCACGCCGCGGTCGAAGGCAGCCGAGGGACACTACGGGGCCATACGGGGCCGAATTGGGCATAATAGGAGCGAAGGAGAGGGGGCGCGGGGGAGGGGTAAGGAGCATGCTCAGAGCATGAAGTTCTTGAACGTGTGTGCCAGAGCACGGGTGTGCACAGTTGGGAGGCGTGGAAGAGGTCCAAGGATGACGCAGCATCGACATACGAGTGGAGCGAGTGGCAGGAAGGCCCTCCTTACGAGTATCAGAGGCCGTCGACGGCTTACCCCGCTCACCGCTCGCCCGGCCAGGCCAAGGACGACCACTCCGACACACCGTCGGAGCTCCAGGACGAGCAGGCGGAGGACGGCCGGCCACGAAGGGCGCAGCACGGCCACACGGCCGGAGACGGTCCGCAGGGTCGTCGCAGCCCCGCTCGACCGCCGGTTATGGTTCCTACTACCGCACGCTTCCTCCATGAGCAGGTGCTTATCGTCGTGGGCGGAGCATATCCATATCCAAGGCCTCGCGGCAGGGGCCCCTGGGACGCGAAACCCATGGGTACGCTTTTTGGTTCGCGGGTGCCCCGCGCGGAACGTATCCATGTGACCGCGTATCCACCGCGCCACATCGTCCAGACCGCAAGGGCGTGGATATTGATACGTCCGCCGCTCTTGAGACCGCCCTCTCCAGTGTCCCCCGCTGGCTATGGAGGGCCATGCGCCCTGCAGGCTGGCACTGCGCATGGGCGCATCCCGAAATACCTGTCAGTTCCATTCAACTTGACATGCTGCAGTCGGCGTTTCAGGGGATCGCGCCGATTTCGGCCAGATTTGGGGGCCTGGAAGGGCCCCAAACCCGCGTGTTCCCCGCCCTCGCCCTTGCGAAAAGCTCCGACGTCGAGAATTCTTGACGTCAGTCTGTCAGTCTGACAACACCTGTGCACCTCCCAACCGGGCTTGCCAAAATCGCAAACCCAACCGCCGACTGCCTGCTACGCGACCTCCTTCTCACACCGGACTCACCTAACGACCCCAAGGCGACAGGCGTACCGAATCCCCCAACCCGACTTGACGACGACCGCTTCGGCACAGAGGGACTTAAGTCTGGGATCTACAGTGCAATGTGCGACGGCTGCCCAGAACCCAAGCTGCTGTACACCTGGAAACACGGGCAGCCAGCTGTTGGGTGCTTCGTCTGGTGACCGACTCCTGGCATGGAGGACACAGAGCAGTGCAACCGACCTTCCTGGGGCAACTGGATCGACTGCTGGACGAGCGGCGGTTGGAACGCTCGATGGTACTGCGGGAACTGTCTTGCTCACATCTTTGACGCTGCTCCATCCGTCATCAACCGCGTCCTTGCGCGTGGCACGCCATCGATGTATGCAGTCTCCCCCACTGCACGGACATCCATGAAGAGGAAAGAGGACGTGGGTGGCCTCGCCCTCGCACTTGGCAAAGAAAGAGCGCAGGTACCACGCGGCAAAAACGACGACGACGAGTGCGGGTCACCATCGGAGACGTCGCCACTACCCGAACCCAATCCAGAACGGGCGGACGCAATCAAGAACATGTTGTGGGAAATCAGGATCCCACAGCTGCCAGACGTGGCCAACACCAGACTCGACATGTTTTTTCCAAGCGTGGACCGACGACAACAGCGACACACCAGGACACACGCCAGTTCAAAGGTGCCAGCACCTCAGACTCATCAATTCATTTGCCAACGACATCTTCTACGCGCTGGAGAACCACAGTACGAGGTGCCAGACAACGGGTTGGACGTCAATTGGCTCAACGTTCTGGCCTGCTCCACCCTTGCCTGGACGCTTCTTCCGTCGAGGCCTCACTACCGACGGATTGGTACCAGGCACGGAATGGGATGGCAAAAGATGGGCCGCTGGACTGGTCGTACAACACATCATCGGGAAGGACGATCGGTTGAAGAAACTGTGGGTGGCACACGTCAGCGAAACCATTCACAGGGACAACCCGAGGTTCCATAACACGGACGAACTTGCTCACTGGCTGGCCAGACTTGACATTGAGGACGCCCCCGACCATGTGATACGTGTGGACAACGTTAACTTGATAATACTGGACACATGCATGCGCCCACGTGGGATTGGATCTCGACCAGTCGTCCCAAGCCGTACCACAGCACCAGAGAGAATGTCCTTTCAGAAGCTCATGGAGCGAATGGCCATGTTGGCTGATAGCGCGAAGGAAAACATCTCGGCCCTGTGCGACCCAGGCTCCCAACGAATACGCGATGAGGAGAAGAGTCTGGACCCCTTGGTCAGCGTGGTCACGAATGCTTCTCTCGGGGGGTAATTATTTCCTGCCCACCATGGCACGGAATTAAGCGGGCGGTCATTGTCCCGACCTGAAGGTCCACGAATAGCGACAAGAGAGATCAGGAGCAGCTCAGGAAGCGAGCCTGCTGCTGCCACAGATGAACGCAGGGACCCGGACGGCGATCTCCTCGACTACGACCCGAGCAAGGCCAGCGAGGAGTCTGAAGCGGACGAGGCAGAAGAGCCTGAAGGAAGCCCAACTACAAGGGAGGGTCACAATACCGAGACTGCTGACGATGAAACATCCAGCGCCACAGACGATAGACCCCCGCTGCCGAGGAGGCGAGATCCGTCACACTGGGCTCCACCAAAAGGCTACGTACGAGGCAGGGAACAGAGCGGCAGACGAGAACAACGAGACGCTCCCATTCAGCAAATTGCTGCTTACAAGACTGGTTCCTCGCGCGGACACAGAGACCAGTGGAGTTACGACAGGTCTTCAGACCGCCCGGCCGCGCAGTCTCGCGACGACGCCTGGCGCAACCAGGACGAGCGCACGGGAAATGACGGGATATTGAATCATGGTAACTGAGTACCCTTCTCCAAGAACCCTCTGACCATCCAAGGGCCCAAGAAGAACGACGGGTCCAGGATGCACCAGCCACCACTGCGCACGATCGACGCACAATACCCCGGGGAGTCCGACAGCGCCGCCTCCAGGATGAAGAGTGAACTAGGCAGCACGTTCAGCGACCTGTGGGTTACACACTGTGCCAAAACCTGCCGCGCTAACGCCCCGCCGACTTTCGACCCAGCACTGCAGCCGCCAGGCGCGTGCCGCAATTTCGCCAATGCGTGGGGCACTGCAGGCTACGACGCGTGCCGCGCCGACCAGTCCACGCGCGCTGAGGCCAGCTTTCGCAGCCCAGCTGACAGGGCCACGGCAATCAGTAACGCCTCCAGCTCAGGCGCTGCCAGCAGCAGCGGGGCCGCCGCCACCAGGTTCCACGCAGCGGGAGAGCACCCGAGCATGGGGAAAGGCAAGGCGAACGACGGACCCGATTCACTGGGCAAGGCTGGGAAGAGGAGCCGAACAACTGAGAGCCCATGCGGCCCATGGAACGAGAAACAGCATCGACAGTGACACCGAGTGCGGGGCGCCGCCCAGTTTCGCTGAGATGCGGTTTTGACATCACACTGGGCACGTGGTGCACCTAGTAGCGCCGCGCGCCTGCACTGCTAACTTTCTTTCCTGTGCATGCGGCGGTTAGCCGCGTTACCCTGCTCGCCCTCTCTTTCTGCCACCCGCGCAGTCATTGCGGCTCAACGGCGGCTTCAGACCTGGCAGCCCACCGTGATTGTCCTTGCCAAGCGTCCCATTGAAGAGCGCCCGGAATGTTCATCGACGGCGCCCCCTCGCGGGCTCTCGCAGTAACTAAGGCGCGGCTAAACAAAACATGCGTCACCTGCGCCCGCTGGCGCATCTGGGACGGTGCGCTAGCCCAATGGAAGACCTCATCATCCGCGATAGCGCGCTATTTCGCGGCTGAAAGAGCCCCGCTTTATCCAGGACTGCGCGTGAAGAACAGCGGCAGGCTGGTGCCAGTGGCGGGTTTACTGAGGTAAGCTTCGATACAGAGCGCCTGGCGTGCGCGTCAGTGCACGCAGGGTTACGGTGGGCTCTCCTCCTTCTTCTCATTTTGCTTCGGCGGTTAGCTGACTCCCCCTCTCCTGTTTAAATGGGATCTCCCCTCGGCGCTGGGGTTGCCGCCAACGCCGCTGCCGGATGGTGCTCCGCCAGCTTGGATCCCACGCAAAGTTCCACAGTGGGAGCCGGCGGCTCGGCGCCCACTGGCTGCCTCAGGCCGGCGCCCCCCCCTGCTGATGGCCGAAAAGGTTCAATGGAATTTCGATAAACTGCTGACAGTTACGGTGCAAGGGTTTCGAGTTCGGCAGGTGTCGTTACGAGCGCTCACATCCCACAGGGGGCTTATTTGGCACAGTCAGGGTTGGCGTAGCCACGGCTGGCACAGTCAGGTTTGGCAAAGTCAGCGCGGGCAAACATGGCGCAGCCACGACTGGCACAGTCAGCGTCAACTGCTCGAGACATGTTTCTCCCCCCTCCTCTCGTGCCGTGTGCCTGGCGTGCACTTCCCCCCCTCCTGCGTCCTCATGCTGCAGCGGTCAGCTGCCGCGCCGGGGTGCCTACCGTGCCTGGCGCGCACTTCCCCTCCTCTCCTTCTGCATCCTTATGCCGCAGCGGCAGCTGTTGCACCGGGGTGCTCCCCCTCCTGTTTCACAGAGTTCTTCCCTGGCGGCTGGGGTTTGCTGCCCAATACTGCTTCCTGATGGCGTTCAGGTGGTCTGAAATTCATGCAAGGATTCACGCAGGGAGCGGTGCTGCGTCGCATTCGCTGAGGTCATGTGCCCCCTGGCCTGCTCCTGGCCGGCGTCGGCCCCTACTGATGACCGGAAGGTTCAGTGGGTCTCTCGCTACACTGCCTACCTTGCGGTACCTGGAGCTCGGGTTCGGCAAGTGTGGCACTGTACGCTCGTTGGCCGAAGATCTCCTGCATGGACTTCGCTTTCTACGAGTGTTACAGGTTTTACTGCCGTTTGCAGTCTTGTTGGTGATGAGGTTGCCCCTCTTCACTCTTGCGCCGACACGATGTTTTGGCATTTGTGTCGCCTACGGCGCGGATGTCGTCTGGGTGTACCTGTCGGTCTAGTTCGTGTCTGGCGGTGCTGTTTGTGTGACTCGCACCGAGCGATCGATCTCTGCGCGTTTATGGTCGCGCCGCCGCGCCATTTTGGCCGCGCTTACTTGCTGGTCGCCGCCGGGATTTTCAACACCACCGGGTTTGAGTATCGATTCTGGCTCTCCTTCTGAGTGGCTGCCCGTTCGCTCGCTTCGCTTGCCTTTCTTCCCACGCTGCCTAGTCGCGGCCCGACTTGTGTTCGGACGGCTTTCGACCCGCATCGCGAGCCTGTTGACCAAAAGTATCCCCACCAGCTCATCCAGGATCGATGCCCAGGCGAGCTGCCTCTCAGAATCTTCTCGGATGT